CAGGGGCCGGTGACTTTCGAGGAGGTGGCTGTGTATTTCACCAGGGAAGAGTGGGCTCTGCTGGACCCCGCTCAGAGAGCCCTCTACAGAGACGTCATGCAGGAGAACTATGAGAACATGACCTCGCTGGGTAAGGATTCCTGTCCCCTAGGTTCTTAGAAGGGGAAATGAAGAGTTAAGGTTCACATGCAGCCTCAACTTTGCCCTGTTTCAGCAACATTCTGACAGGCCAATGAGACACAGACCGGCGCTCTGCCCTCCCCGCTACAGAACACTTTGGGAACAGAGCACAGGTGCAGGACAGCACAAACGCTAACACTGCAAAACTTGGGGTTAGGTCCGATGTAGGGAACAGAAGCTGCCTGCCCCTGGCCTGCACTCAGACACTGAGCCTACGGCACACAATCCATCTTGGACTTTCATAATGTCACCATCCCTTTACCCTTCCAATGAGGATTCCGTCTGAGTCGTTGCCTTCACTTACCCCTCCCTGAGCCCTGGGGACCCTGTGCACGTATGGCACCAGCCTGCTGACAATCCCTGTGGCAAGAACACACCCTTGTGTGCCTTTATTGACGCCGCCTACACCACTCCGCACTGAAATGAGGAATACCTGTTGTGAGGGTTGGATCACAGAAACCCCCTGGGAGCTGCCAACTGATGTGCCAAAACTACTTCTGACCCTGCTTTCCCTGCCAGCTTAGGCCTCCAGCACCCTGTCTTGCTGAGCCAGACACGCCAGTCTGCTCCAACGCAGACCCAGGGCCTGATCCATGTGCCCCCAAAGCTGCAGGTTTAATTGGAAAGCAAGTTACAGAAGTGTTCCTGACTTTAACACTCAGAAGCCCAACTCCCAACGGGGTCCAAACCCTAAATAAATCCGTTTTACCCTGTATAAGCTTTAAACTCATAAATTGTTCACCGTCTGTAACACTGATAGAAAGAGATGCACAGCTGTTTGCCCCCCCCCCAAGTATTAATACATACTCTGGGTTAATTAATAAGTAAAAAGTGATTTTATTAAATACAGAAAGTAGGATTTAAGTGGTTCCAGGTAGTAACAGACAGAACAAGGTGAATTACCAAGCAAAATAAAATAAAACAGGGAAGTCTATGTCTAAGAAATTGAATACAGATAAAAACCTCACCCAGTAAGCTTCCTTTTACAGACTAATCTCCTTCTAGTCTGGGTCCAGCAATCACTCACACCCCCTGTAGTTACTGTCCTTTGTTCCAGTTTCTGTCAGGTATCTTTGGGGTGGGGAGGCTCTCTCTTTAGCCAGCTAAAGACAAAATGGAGGGGTCTCCCAGGGGTTTAAATAGACTTTCTCTTGTGGGTGGAGACCCCCTCCTCTCTCCTATGCAAAGTCCAGCTACAAAATGGAGTTTTGGAGTCACCTGGGCAAGTCACATGTCCATGCATGACTGAGTTCCTTACCAGCCAAGCCACATGCCTGGGAAAGCTCAGATGTGGATTGGCGTCTCCAAATTCATTGTTGGCTTAAGGGCTTCTTGATTGGGCACTTACTGAGAATAGTCTTTTCTCAGGAAGCTGACCAACTGCTTCACTAAAACCCACTTAGAATCAGACAAGTATACAGCCAATATTCATAACTTAAAATACAAAAATGATATGTGCATACAAATAGGATTAATAGATTCAGTAGATCATAACTTTTACATAGATATGTTACATGGCATATGTAGCATAAAACATATTCCAGTTATGTCATATATGCATTCATATATGGCAGGGGGCAGTTGGGGTGGAGGGTCCTGGGCGGTCAGGTGGACTGGGTGGTGGTGGATGGGGCATGAGTCCCGGGGGGGCCCATCAGGGAACGGGGGTGTTGGATGGGGTAGGAGTCCCGGGGGTACCGTCAGGGGCGAGAAGCAGGGGGGGTCAGTTAGGGGTCAGGGGCCTGGCCACGCTTGGCTCTTTGGGGAGGCACAGCCTCCCCTATCCGGCCCTCCATACAATTTTGGAAACCCGATGTGGTCCTCAGGCCAAAAAGTTTGCCTGCCCCTGCCTTACTACTTCTCCCTACCCTAACCCTAAGCAGGAGAGGATAACTGGCTTGTTCTGCAGCATGGGATGTTTAGGTTGGATCTTAGGAAAAACTTTCCAACTGTGCATATAGATGAGTACAGGAATACGTTACCAAGAGAGGTTGTGGAATCCTGGTCACTGGAGGTTTTTAAGAAGAGGTTAGACAGATGGTCTGTGTATACTTGGTCCTGCCTCAGGGCTGGAGGATGGACTAGCTGACATCTTGAGGTCCCTTTACCCTGTTTGTTTCTGTGATGTTATGATTCATGGTCCTAGCCCTTCATTTTGACCGTGTCTCCCTCTGGAGAATGGGGGCTTTATTTAGTAGGATTTTTAATGAAAAGTATGCATGGGTCAGCTTCCCTCTCAATTTGCTTTGTTAGTCACTGGGTGTGAAGCAGTGAATTCCTCTTCTGGGATGGGGATGTAATTCCTGTTGAAGCAGCATAGGCCTGTCTCCATTTACATGGAAACACTATCAAGGACTGTCCACATATGAATGCAGCACACTGGACGGTGTAAGTGTCAAAGACTGGAGGTTAATGTGTAATGACTGGGTCCAAGGGAAGCAGAACGTGAGAACACAACTGTACTGCACTTTGGGATGTCTGTGCTGCCTCTGGGAGAGACCCTCCCAGCCTGGGTCCCCAGACTGGCCTTGGCGGGCTGTATATAACTGCGTCTATGTTGCAGCTCAGTCTCTACACCAGCAGTATGTGTACCCCTGGGTGTGTACGCAGAGTTCTTCCAGAGTTAGGGTGACCAGATGAGAGGAAGAAAATATCGGGACATCGGGAAATATCCGCCGGCGGAGCAAAAAAAAAAAAGTAGTAGTAGTACCGCGAAATATCAGGACAAATTGTATCCCTGACCAAACATCGGTTGGGACGTGGGACAAACGCCACAATATCGGGACGGTCCCGATTTTATCAGGACGTCTGGTCACCCTATCCAGAGTTGCTACGGAAAAATCACTAGCCAAGTCAGCACAAAGTAAAATTTCATACAATAACTTGTTTATACTGATCTATATAATATACCCTGAAATGTAAGTAAAATATTTATATTCCAATTATTTATTTCATAATGATATGGTAAAAATGAGAAAGTCAGCAATTCATGGTGTGCGGTGACACTTTTGTATTTTTATGTCTGATTTTATAAGCAAGTAGTTTTTAAATGAGGTGTAACTTGAAGGTACGCAAGACAAATCAGACTCCTGAAAGGGGTACAGTAGTGTGGAAAGCCACTGGTCTACACAGCTATTGTTAATGTGCTAGCACGTTCAATGGTGCACCCATAGGGAGACACATCTCAAAGAACTATCGTTGATGCACAAGTTGAGTAACTTCTTCTTTTGCGTGTTACCTGATCTCACTTGTCTTCTTTCCTCTGAGCAGGGTTCCCAGTTTCCAAACCCGGTGTCATCTCCCAACTGGAACGAGGGGAAGAGCCATGGACCCCAGATCTCCAGGGCTCAGAGGAAAGAGAGAGCTTGAGAGGCAGCTGCTTGGGTGAGGGATCATTAAACCTTCTCAGTGTTTGAAGGAAACAGCTGGGATTCCCAACAAAGACCTTGTGAGGTCTCTGGGTTCAGGATGGCCCCCAGCAGGTGTCATATCCTCAGGGCAGACACTGTTCATGGCTTCCTATCCATCCTAACTCCTGGCAGTAGTTCCCACCCCAAACTCCCTTCTCCCTGAGTGTTTGGGTGGGGACTGGATGCAGAATTGATCCTCTCCTCGCTCCCCTTTGGGAGAAATTCAGTCCCTGATTTTTTTCCATCTCCAGCTATTCTCTTGGTTTGTTCTCCCCTTTTCCCTTCCGCTTTCTGAGGTTTTCTTTCTCTGTCCCAGCAGGTGAGGGGATGGTGAGAGAGACCGTGGAGCAGAATCCTCAGCAGGAAGAGGAGCAAGTGGAAGCGCATGGGGCGTTGTTGCAAAGATGCAAAGGGAGTGTTTCCAGGAGTTGTGTGCAGGGAAAAGGCTCTCGGGGGCAGCATAGACCAGAGAAGCAGCAGGGAAACCAGCCAGCGCAGAAAGTTGGAATATCTGTTAATTATCGGGGAACTCACAAAGGCCTCAAGAAAGCCACGGCCCAGCAGAGAATCCTGACGGGAGAGAGAAATAACACGGGCTTCGAGTGTGGGAAAAAGTTCAGGAGGCGCTCACACCATCAGAGGATCCACACTGGAGTGAGACCCTATGGATGCTGCAAGTGCGGGAAAACCTTCACTGAGCGCTCAACCCTTATTCGCCATCAGAAGATCCACACCGGGGAGAAACCCCATGAATGCTGTGAATGCGGGAAAACCTTCACTCAGCGCTCACACCTTATTTGCCATGAGAGGATGCACACAGGGGAGAAACCCTATGGATGCAGTGAGTGCGGGAAAACTTTCACTCGGAGATCAGGCCTTATTCGCCATCAGAGGATCCATACAGGGGAGAAACCCTATGGATGCTGCGAGTGCGGGAAAACCTTCACTGAGCGCTCACACCTTATTTGCCATCTGAGAATCCACAAAGGGCAGCGCCCCTATGGATGCTGCGAGTGCGGGAAAACCTTCACTCAGCACTCAAATCTCATTGCACATCAGAGGAGTCACACAAGGGAGAAACCCTATAAATGCTGTGAGTGCGGGAAAACCTTCTCTTGGCACTCAGCCCTTATAAAACATCGGAGGATCCACACAGGAGACAAACCCTACAAATGCTGTGAGTGCGGGAAAACCTTCATTGACAGCTCACACCTTATTTGCCATCAGAGAATCCACACAGGGGAGAAACCCTATAAATGCTGTGAGTGCGGGAAAACCTTTGCTCGGAGCTCAGGCCTTATTACACATCAGAGGATCCATACAGGGGAGAAACCTTATGAATGCCGTGAGTGCAGGAAAACCTTCCATCACAGCTTTTCTCTTATGTATCACCAGAGAAGCTGCAAGGGAGATAAACACCATGAAAATCCTGTCTAGGACTCAGAAAAGATTGTTTTTTCCTTTTGCCAATTCCCATGTACACCTCTACCCCGATATAACGCTGTCCTTGGGAGCCAAAAAATCTTACTGCGTTATAGGTGAAACCGCGTTATATTGAACTTGCTTTGATCCACCAGAGTGCACAGCCCCGCACCCCTGGATCACAGCTTTACCGCGTTATATCCGAATTCATGTTATATCGGGTTGCGTTATATCGGGGTAGAGGTGTAGTGAACTTTAAGGCAGCATTTGTGGCATCTCCGCTCCTTCAGGCGAGTTGTCTGCTTTTCCCTTTTGCAGCTCATCCTTCCTTGGAGTGAAGCCCACGGTGTTTTTCATCAACTCCTTTGTCCTGTGTCATGGAAGTGTGCATCCCTCCAACAGGAATGTCCATCAGCCCCAGGTGGGGGAACCAGGAGTGAACTTTACTCGGTACATGGAGGTTAAATCTATCTGGGCCTTGACTCCATTGGGGTTTTCCATGGAGTTAGCTAGATTGAGTTAGGGATCCTGATGTAAAAACACAACTGTGTTTTTTTTTTCCAATGAAGAAAATAGCCCATATAGCAGCCAGGGTAACGTAGCAAATTTCCTCACCACCGGACACAACCTCCATCACTTTTCCTAGTCTAACCAAATTTATAGCATCACGTTTATATTTTTCCTCCCACTGCAAAGTGATTGTTAGTCAGCAGGTTCCCCCACTAGGGACAGATTGCCTCATTCCCAGTTGTTCTCACGTTGCACTGGGTTCTGCTGAATAGCAGTTGGGTTTTGTACCCTTTTTCTCAATGTAAATATAACAGAGAAGGAGCCGGGATAGAGGGTGTGACAAAGTGGGGATTTTCCCTTGTTCTGTTGTATGTGAGTCTTACTGTTGAGCCTATGTGAGTTTTACTGTTTTGCATGAATACTGCGTGTGTCTCAGTTTCCCTGTGTGCTGCACCACTACCTCGGTGGTGGGAATAGGGGTGTGTGACTGACGAAGTGGGAATGTTCTTAATGTTTTCTTTGAATAGTGGGTGGGTGCCTGTGACACAGCAGGGAGTGGGGAGTATTGACCTGGGAAGGTTGCAGGGGAGTTTCATTGGGACTGTCTGCATTGGGGATGGGAGACTTTCCTTGAGGGAGGATACCTGAGCATGTAACGTGAGAACCCAGGAAGGGGGTTGGAGCCAGGTGACACCTTTTCCCGGGAAACTGGACAAAGGCTGGGGGAGGAGCTGAGGGGAGGCTGGGTGAGAGTGCTGGAGGGAGGTTCAGTTTGGAGCTGGCTGGGGAAATGGAGAGCGGGGCCAGATGGGGCTCTGGTCTTCCTCCCTCCCCAAAATGGACCTGACTGAGGGGTCCTGGTCTCTGTACCTACAAGCTCTGTTTTAGACCATGTTCCTGTCGTCTAATAAACGTTCTATTTTACTGGCTGGCTGAGAGTCATGTCTGACTGTGGAGTTGGGGGGCAGGGCCCTCGGGCTTCCCCAGGAGCCCCGTCTGTGCCGACTAGCTGTGGGAAGCGCACGGTGTGGAAGGGGATGCTGAATGCGCCGAGGCTAGACCCAGGAAGGTCAAAGCTGTGTAAGCCTCTTGCCCTTGAGACCATCTGCTCACAGAGAGGAGGCTCCCCCAGAGTCTTGACTGGCTTCATATGGAGCAGTTCCAGAGCATCGCCCGGTGACTCCGTGACACCATGTAGAATTTATGGTTCACTTTCTACAGTTCCACCGCTCAATGTATACTATGATTCAGGGTTCTCAGCCCTCTGTTTGTGGATCACAATTTGTTTTCTTTGCTCCTAAAACAGTAATTTAGGACCTGAGATGAAAGTGTCACAGACCTGGATGGGGAATTTGAATAGATCTCAAATACAGTGAGATCATTTGGAGTTTAAATCCCAGTTTCCAACTGTTGGCAAAGCCTGTTGTAGAACTTTTCCTACTGAGATGGGATTGTTTGCATATGGGGAGGCTGGCTGGTTGGTTTGTTTTTTGTTTTTTTTCCATTACGACCATACTAGCACTTGTGTCTGATGAAGTGGGTAGTCACCCACGAAAGCTTATGCTCCAATACATTTGTTAGTCTATAAGGTGCCACAGGATTCTTTGTTGCTTTTTACAGATCCAGACTAACATGGCTACCCCTCTGATACTAGAACTTCTGTAAATAATATGACTCAGTACTAATGAGTGAAGGAGGTTTGAACGGATCAGAGGAGAATGCAATGGGAGAATCTCTTGTCCTGATTCTGAGTTGTCATATGTAACATGCTCTGGAATTTCTAGTTATATGAAGCTGGATGTCTTGTTTGATGTGGGTTTTTCCTCTTGGGGGACATTTGGTCACATAATCAGATATGAATTTTATTTGCCAGACTGTAGCTCAGGTTTACTGGGGACTTTGAGAACAGGACTATTTGCTGAAATAGTAATTTCTTATTTTATTTTATGCCTTTTCTCTGCTCCCTCCATGATGACATGGAGAAACTTCAAGTGCAGTTCAGTCAACAGGAGAGACTACTCCAAGCTATTGGACATGCTACCAACTGTTTTTAAATCTCCATTCTGAAATGGTGAACTAGAGCACATCCCAAGTTGTGCAGCTAACTGAAGTGACTGCACACAATCACACTGCTGCTCAATTGTTTTAGATCAGTATTGTCTCTGATGATCCAGGGAGAGAATTCCACAGTAAGTAACGAAGAACTGGGCAAAAGGCCCATGTATTTGTTTCCCAAGGCAGTTGTGAAAGAGGCTTTTGTGACAGGGAGGAGGATGGAATCCTTAAGCTTGTACAGATGGGGAAACAAGCATGGTTGAGGCTGAACAGGCACACCATGCACCAATACAGAAAATTTTAACTACATATAACTCTTGAGTTCTTTAGTATCTCCGTCATGCATAGAAGGCTGGCAGCCTACTCTAAGGAGTAAGGATATATTGTGATAGGCTGGTAGTTTTTTATTTTTATTTTTTTAAATAAAAATGTGTGGTGGTGGACTGTGCACTCTAGCATCTTTAACTCCAAGGCATCTTTGTATAACAGTGCCCCTTAATCCCTGTAATAATGTATAGAAAGATCTGTTTCTCCATTTGTTCTGGTCACAGCAGTTTTTTTTTTTTACATCACAAACTCCTAAACGGGGGAAGAGGGGGCAGGCTTTTCCCCTTTCCCTTCAGTCTGAACCACATGTACCGTGCTGGAGGGGAGCTATCCCAGGCTTTTTGCAGGTACCCTATTGCCCCAGCTCTGTAGTGAGATGTCACCGCACGGGCCAGGTACTAAGCAGGTGGTTGGATTGAGGAGAAAAAGGTGAGAAAGGAAGGGTGGCTTCGCCTACATTGCTTATTGGACTTTGGAGGTGGTATGGGAGATGGAGTGTCTTGTGCTTTCTCCCACCGCGGAGTGAGGAGCCAGAAATTTCTAGCTGCCAGTGAGGGGTGAGAAGCACAAGGTGCCATGAGAAGTGCCCTCTGTATGTGCAACAGCAAGTCACAGAGGGAGCATCTGTGAGCTGCCACTGGGAGCAGCCAACCTCCCAGTGAGGGGGATGGGTGACCCCTGCCGGGCCTGGGGACAGTAGGTTACAGGGGGGCACCATTAGCTACCCTCCCTCAACTTTGCTTCGCTTCCCTGGCTTATGTGCCTCAGTTTCCTCCTCTGCAACCACTTCAGCTCCTGCTCTCTCTCCCCCCCCCCGGCCCTCACACCCTCCACCACTCACGTAGATCAAGCCCTCTCATCCCTCCCCTTCCTGCCCCCAGGGCCACTTGCCCCCCCTCCCTCCTCCTCCCCAAAATCCCCTCATCTCGTATCTCCCCCCCCCCCCCAACCCAGCACTGCCGGGAGTCCCAATTCCCCTACCCCCCATTATCTCCCCACCTACCCCCCCA